TTGTGAGAGAGAGAGAGAGAGAGAGAGAGAGAGAGAGAGAGAGAGAGAGAGAGAGAGAGAGAGAGAGAAACAACCGAATTTTTTTTTTTTAAATTAACTTTTAAAATATTTTTTTTTTTTTTTTTATGTTTTGATTCATAAAACCAAAGTTTCATAATAGGGTAAAAATAAAACAAAAAAAAAAAATTGATTAACTCATCGGTTCAGAAAAAAAAAACAATTTTAAAATTAAATCATAGGATATTGAATAATTTTTTTTTTATAGATTAAAAAGTTAATTTAGAAGATGATAATAAGAATTAAAAATAATAAATATGATAAATGATTAAATTAAGATTTTTTTGTTTATGGTGTTACAATTTTTGTTAATAATATTTTTTTTTTTTTGCAAAAAATTTGTTTTACTTTTATAAAGTTTCAACAAATTTACAGAAATAAAACAGAAAAAATATTTGCAAAATAAAATAAATGATTTTTGGGGAATAAAAGAGCTCTTAAAAAAAAAAAAAAAAACGGTGTGTTTTACAAAGAATTAAACAAGATGAGAAACTAAAAATAGAAAAAACATTGAGTTCGATAAATTCCATCTGCATGATTTCAGATTCTTCACACACTCTTGCCATGACTTTTTGTTTTCAAATTTAAAATTAGTGATAACGTTTTCTTTTTTTTTAATAAATAAATAAATAATTTTCTTTTGAACAGTGGTCTTCATCTATTACCTTTTTTTTTTCTTACAAATCTTTTTGATTGTAATTTTTTTTTAATAATTACAAATAAACAATGTGTTAAAACAATTTAAAATTATTGGAAAATTAATTTTTTTTGCTAATGAGATATTTTTAAATTAATTTTTGACTTTGAAACAAAAAAAAAAAAGAAAAATAATTTTTTCACAATTACATGTTTTATTTCTTTATTTTACAAAAGTTAATCATCCATTTTTGTTTTTTACTCTATGTCCTTTTCTTTCAAATTAATTCCTTTTATGAAAAAAATTTTTATTGGTATTAAAAGTATGGAAAAAGGATAAATTAATTTTTAAATACGGCAAAACTAAATTTTTTTTGTAATTTTCTAAAGTTTTAGTAGCATTTTCAGTTGTGTTCAAGTATATTCGTTAAATAAATTTAAAAATTTTATAGCCATGTCGAAATTATAAATAACTTGTTTACTCCAAAGAAGAAAAAACTTTTAAAATTTACCGCAAAATTGAATCAAATTAATTCTTTAGTTATTACTCTATGACTTGTGTTAACTGTTGAAATCTTTCAATTAATTTTAGAGTAATAACACACTCATATTTTGATAAAATGGGTGACAATAATAAAAAAATTTCTTTTTCATTTTCTAAAACGAAAAAACCATCCATAGCTAAAGTTTCTAATGTTGAAGAAAAGGAAAAAATAGAATATATCAGTTGTTTTGATAAAAAAAAAGATGCAATTAAAGAAAGGTATAATAACTTTAATATATTATTGTCAGATGTTAATAGTTTGCCAAGTTTTATTCTTTAAAACTATGTTTATTTATTAAAAAATTGTTATTGTTTTAAAATGCAATGAAAGATAATTATATATCTTTTACTAAACCTGAATTCATTTATTTCATATTTGTTTTTTTAATGAAAAGCATTATATTTACATTATATGTAAACATTTTTTTTGAAACTTATTTTAAAATATAACAAGTAATTATTGGTTATGTTAATAATGTAAAAGGAAATTTAATTGTAAATAAAAATTAAAATGATAAATTTATTTTTAGAAATGAAAAATCAAAAAAAAGTATGTTAGTTATACCAATGATTAGTTCTAACACATTTAATGGAATTTCAGCTAAGCTTGAAAAAAAAAATGAACAAAATAAAAATGTTAAATGCAGCGAAGATAATAAAGATAATTCTAATAGAAATGGTCATTCACAAGATAATAAGACAGACAAACAAATGACTGCTGATGAAATTGCAGCCGCTGAAATCCTGAGCAGTATAAAAAATTCTAATGAAGATAAAAAAAATTGTAGCGATTTTGTTATAGCTCAAACATCAAAATCGGAATTAGAATTGAGTAATGAATCTACTATAGATTATGACCAAGTTCCAGTCAGTGAATTTGGTTTTGCAATGTTAAGGGGTATGGGATGGAAAGAAAATGCTGGTATAGGAAAAGAACCCAGGTAGTCAAAAATTTAAATAATTGAAATTTAAAAAAAAATTAGCTTTTTTACTTAATCGAATTAAAGGGTCATACTATGTATTTTTTGATTTTAATAAATTCTTATATTTTGTTTTTAGGACAGTTTCAACAGTTTCACCTAAATTAAGGCCCAAAGGTTTGGGTTTAGGAGCAAAATATAAACCCGAGTCAGATAATCAAGAAATTAAAAAAAAAAAAGTGAGTATCGTTCACTGTCTTTTATTCTTTTAAAGTTTAACTTTTTGGAATTCTAATTCGTTTTATCATCCATAACGAATTTAGTTTTAAATAATCACCTTACAAAAAAAAATTATATTTTTTGCTTAAAATAAATGTCAATTAATTTTTTGTTTTTTTTTTAGGAAAATAAAATAAAATGAAAAGAAAATGAGATTTTGATGCCATCTAGTATCAGATTGTTTCTTTATTTCCACAAAATTAAAAAAACATCTTTTACTACTTCAACACTGAGGATCTTTGTATTTTTGGGTCGAAACAAAAATTTAGTAGGTATCCTATTTTATTTGACCAAAATTTTTTACTCGTTTTTGTTTAATGTGAATTTTTTATAAATTACACTGCACTTTTAGAGATGAAACTTATTGGGGAAATCATTTAAAAAAAAAAAAAAAATGTAATGCAGTGATAAAATTTATAATTAACAATTGAAATGTCAGAATTTCAAACTTAATAAAATTTAACTTTAAGTATAAAATCGTATTATAATAAAAATACCATAAGAAGTTTTTAAGTATAATTTAAATCATATAATTATATTTTTTATTTATTTTATACATTCTATAACTGTTTTATACAACAAGTTAAATATTTTAAATTTGTGTTTTTTTTTCAAAGAATGTTTTAAAGAAAAAATCTTGTTTATTTTCAAAATATTAAATACACCATAGGAATTATCCAAATACTTATTTGAAAAATTTTTAATTATGCTCAAGTTAATTATATGAAATAAATGAACAATATTATTTTTGATATTAAAATCAATTTTTTAAATTTCTTTACAATTTTCATTATCAAGATTATTTTTAAAAGTAAAAGTAAGGTTTTTAAAGTATTCTGTAACTTTAATGAAACGTTATTCTCGCAAAAAAATTATTAACGACTTTTCTACATTGTTAAAGATTTTATTTAATGTTTATAATTGTATTTTAAAACATGAATAAATTAATTGTTTAATTATTATTTTTTAATAAAATTTAACTAAACGAATGTTTTTGATGATTTATGATTCGTTAAATTAATCGTTAATTATAATATAGAAACTAACAATTCTAATCTCTAATTCTAATCTTGACAGTATAGCAATTTTTAATCGAATAAAGCGCCATCTTGGTAAGTTAATTCGGTTATAAAGTTGTGTTTACACTCCTCGTGTGTCATTTATTTCAAAGTATTCTATTTGTTTTCTAAGCGTTTTCATTTGTTCGAATATCTTAAGAAAATGTCTAAAAAATTTTCGCAATTTTGTAATTCTTATAATAATATTTTAAAAACAGCTAAAGGAGCCGCTAAAAGAAATTGTAAGTAATAATATTAAAACTTGATGAGTTTTTTAACTTTTGAATAGTTGTAATTTTTACATAGGGTTAAAGGCGTTTTTTATTTTTTTTTTTAACTTTTTAAAAATTCATAAGAATTAAAAAGTTTTTGATAATTTTTATTATTCATTTTTTTTTTAAAAAGTTTTTATGGCTTTAATTTAACGTAATTTTTTTTTTTAAATTTATTCTTTACTTATTATGGTTTACGAAAATGGTTTTTTTTTTTTTTTAAATAAATACTATAAAATAAATATTCGTAATCTTTATAAATTTTTAAAAAGTTTAATCATTATCTATTAAATTCATAGATTAAAATTTAATTGACTATTACCTAATTCTAGTAACTTGTTGAAAAGAACAAAATTTTATGTTTTGCCCTAAATTTTTTTGGAATTTTTTTAATTTTTAGTTTTTCAGAATATAGCTGAAAAATATAACTTTAATTATTTATTATTTCTAATTTTTATTATTTAATTAAAAATATGAAATATCAAAAAATGGAAACAAATATGAATATAATTAATATAATTTTTAAAGTTTTACTCAAACTCATTATCTTTATTATTGTATGTAAATAATTACTTTTATCTAGTTTTTAAATAAACTTTTTCTTAATTAAGAAAATAAACTAACTTAAGTTGTTATTAATGATAAATGTGATATAATAAATAAAATCTCTTTTAGACTCTCAAACTAGTAGAATAGAATGTAAAAAGCCTGTAGTTGAAATGGATGGAGATGAAATGACAAGAATTATATGGCAAAAGATTAAAGATTATTTTATTTTTCCATATTTGAAAATTGAATGTTTGTACTACGACTTAGGATTAGAAAATAGAGACAAAACTAACGATCAGGTTACGATTGATGCTGCTCATGCAGTTTTAAAGCACAATGTGGGAATTAAATGTGCTACAATAACACCTGATGAAGCGAGAGTTAAAGAATTTAATCTTAAAAAAATGTGGTTGAGTCCAAATGGAACTATTAGAAACATATTAGGAGGAACTGTTTTCAGAGAACCCATTTTATGTAAAAACATTCCTAAATTAGTTCCTGGATGGGAAAATCCTATTGTTATTGGTAGGCATGCTCATGGAGATCAATATAAAGCTCAAGATGTTGTTATTACAAAACCTGGATTGCTACAATTAGTTTTTACTGATGATGGAGGAGCAAAGGAAACTATTGATGTTTACAGGTTTGTTTTACATAAGATTTAAAAATTGAAGGTTCTACAGTTAAGAATTCTTGTCAATTATTAATTTATTGATTTTAGATATAAAAATTCTGGGGTGGCTTTAGCTATGTACAATACAGATGACAGTATTAAGGATTTTGCTCATTCCAGTTTTCAAGTTGCCTTACAAAAAAAATGGCCTTTATATTTATCAACAAAAAATACTATTCTGAAAAAATATGATGGACGTTTTAAGGATATTTTCCAAGAAATATATGAAAAGTAAGTCAAATTGTAATGTACAATCGGAAAATTTTGTTTAAAAAAATTTTATGTAATAAATATCTCGAATGATTTACAATAAGTTTTTTAACATTTTTACTTTTTTTTCTACAGAGATTACAAAAAAAGCTTTGAAGAAGCAAAAATATGGTATGAACATCGTCTGATAGATGATATGGTGGCCCAAGCTCTTAAATCAGCTGGAGGATTTGTCTGGGCATGCAAAAATTATGATGGAGATGTTCAGTCTGATATCATTGCTCAAGGTTATGGATCCCTCGGTCTCATGACGTCTGTTTTAATGTGTCCTGATGGTAAAACAATGGAGTCCGAAGCTGCTCACGGTACCGTCACGAGACATTATCGGTACGTTTACTTCTGACACCAAGAAAAAAGTCTATCAAATTTACACCAGTATTATTCATAGATGAACAAATCAAAACTTGATATTTTAAAATTTTTTTCAGTATGCATCAAAAAGGACAAGAAACTTCAACAAATCCTATTGCATCAATATTTGCTTGGACCAGGGGTTTAAGTCATCGTGCCAAATTAGACAACCTTCCCGAATTAGATGTCTTTAGTCAAAGTCTCGAAAAGGCTTGCATTGATTGTGTTGAAAGAGGAGAATACACAAAAGATTTGGCAATTTGCATTCATGGAATGTCTAAAGTGAAACCTGGAATGTATCTTAATACTGATGATTTCATGGAAGCCATACGCCAAGATTTAAAAAGAAAATTAAATACAAAACTTTAATAAAATATTTTTTTTGCCGATAATAACTGACATTAAATGAAATGACTTTATTTAATCTTTATTTAATGAAATGAATTTTCACATCACGAGCACAATAATAATTTTTACCTCATTATTTATTATACAATAATTTAGTTATATTTTTGTAGACTGGTTATATTTAGACTGATTATA